AAAAAAAAAAAAGAAAAAAAAAGATGCACGTTTAGAATAATTTGTACAAGTGAAAAGTACTAATTGAAATAACTAAAGGAAAAGCATGTAAAATTAAATGCATGATAGTGAAATAGCAAGTCAAAAAGAAAGCTAGCATATAAAAACAAAACAAAAAAAAAATAGTTCAAAAAAGAATAAATTTATTTTTATCCTATGAATATCACTTATAAAACTCATTCCTATTCTATTTCCATACTCAAGGTCGATATTCAACAATTCCATGAACCATTTCCAGTTGTCCTTATCTTCAGTATCTACAATTGCTTATGCCATTGGAAACATTTGATTGTTCCCATCTCTTCCAATAGCTGACAACAAAATGCCTTTGCAAACCCCTTTCAAGAAACTGCCATCTAAACCAATAATGCGCCTACAATTAGCTTTCCAACCCCTCTTGCATCCATCAAAGCAAAAGTACATCCTTTTAAACTGGTAAGGTGTTGTTGCAGCAGAATTCTCTATTCCAATGATACAACTTGAGCCAAGATTGGTAGTTAGCATATGCTTTTCATAACCTCTAAAATACTTGTATTGTTCAATGTAAGTAGCTTCTAGCTCATTCTTAATTATCCTTTTAGCCCTTTGACATTTATATTTTGAAACTTCAACATTCAATTCTGCCTTGACATGGTCAACAAGCTGCCTACTACTCATTCTAGGGGAGTTAGTAACTATTGTCCATAAGGCACCAACCAAGAATGGCTCAATCACCATTTTGTTCCTATTTGTTTTAAAGCATGAATGAGTTCCATAATATTTCTTCACCTTGAAAATATCATCAGAATTATCAAAGCTTGCATAAATTTCCCAAGAACACCCATCTTGAATATCACATGCAATTCTTTGCCTACCTAGCTCATTCTTTTCCCAATGAAGTTTGCATCCCTTTTTTATTGAGTATTTGACAATGGCTTCCTTGAATTGAACTACATTCTCAAATGTCATTCCTACCTCAAAGTGTGGCTAGTCACAGTTAGGATCATAATGCAAGGAACTAGTCACCTTTCTCAATACATTATCCTTCACATTCAGGTCTTTTATGGAACTATCACTATCGTAGCTTTCAGCATCACCACTATTAATATAAGTACTACTACTACTGCACTCTATATCACTATATTCAATGTCTAAGTTGTCCACTAGTTGAAAGCCTTCAAAATTAGCTTCAGGTTCTTTAATTATAATTCCTTTTGAGCTTGATGATGCCATAACACCTCCATTCCTCTCACTTTTCCATTGCTGGCATGCCTTAGTTGCCTTTTCTTTCCCTTTATCATTTGTTTTCCTACCATGGCTTAAAGTATCAGTGCTATCCATGTTACCCATCAAATTTGTCACTTTATTATTCCCAACTAATAACTCATCATCATTAGCATCACTTCCCAATACCTCTGGATGTAACAACAACTTTCCTACTCCAATAGCAACTTCTTCATTGACATTAAGTTGACCATGTTCGACATAAACATGACATATAGTCAATTTTATTAAATCTTAGCAACCTCAATCACTTCAACATCACCACAAAGAGGATGCCCATGTACCATAGACAAATTTGGAACTTTGTAATACAATCCCTTGAATGAGATAAAACCCGGCTTTGTAACCTTGTCCTTAATATCCCAATAACACAGCTTATTCACATCAAAGACTAGTAAATCATAAGTTTCTCCCTCAGTATAACGTGACTTGTCAACACCAAATTGACCATCATAATGTATGCATATTGTAAAAGGTGCAACTTCACCCATTGGTTTGCTACTCAAAATTTTAGAAACAAAACAGATTATTCGACAATAATATTAAATAATCAAGTAATTAGGGATGTTAAGTATGTATGTTAAGCAACAATTGATCTATGAATCTATTCCCATAATTTAAAGATTGCACCTTGTTTACAAGAACCCTAATGGCAATCAAGTAATTAGTGATTTTAATGTACTTCATAAACCCGAAATTACGATCTTTTATCTGTTTATTGTAGATTGGTAAATAATAAAAAAAAATGAAGGAAAACACCACAAGCCCCATATGCTTTCCACATCAAATAACAATAATGGATTTACCTATAGGATGAAATCAAACTCAAGATTGTCGAGATTCAAGATTCTTCAGTGCTTGTCTTCCACTTGTGGTCCCTTTTATGTCTGGTAGAAGCAAACTTTCTTTTGTAGACTTTTAAATTGCAGTTTTTAATGGCCTTATGATTTCTTTAGATTTTTTTTCTTTTTTTTTTTATTTAGATTTTTTAGGATTTTGGCAGGATCTTTACTACCCAAAAATCCCTTTATATATGGATGGTACCATGTCAGCATATATGTGTCTATGTGGATTAGAGGAAGTGCAAAAAAGAAACGGCATTGGTCTATCGTGAATCTCATCGTTTGGCCCATTTGTGAGAAGAGCTTATTTGCATCATTCCTATAGTTGGAAGGCTTATCTGTTTCATTTTTAGTTTAAAGGCTTAAATGCTATTTTGCGGTAAGTTTAGGGGTTTAAGAAGGGTTTTTGCCTTAAAATCTTGATGAAAAATTAAGATCCATGGGAAGAGCACTAGAAGACTCCTATACTAGCCTCGAATAATAACAATCTCGAAGTAGGTGTAAAGGGCTATAAAGTCAATTGCTTATAGCAAGGACATAAAGGGTTGGTGGCAACCATATCTCTCAAATCAAAATGAATTAATGAGTATGCTATCTCTCTAGAGAGGCCAAACAAATAGCTTGATTCTTTCAGCACATTTCAATCTTTACATCCAGCTCCAGTTTTCAAAGTGAAATAACTAATTAACATATTGTTGCTGCAGCAATAAGAAAGTAAACTTTACCGTTAAAGCACCATTAGATGAGCCACTCTAAAAAATCCTGTCTTCTAAATGACCTACAGTAAACAAAGGTTTAGCTAAAATTTGCTCTAATCACATGCTCAGGCGAGTAAGTATTGTCTTAGCAAAGCAAAATTCCATTGTCCATCTGATGTGATTGCACTAGAAACAATGGCATTAAATAGGTCTTGTGGTATATCTAGAAGCACAATATCAAGAAGTTTCATGTCACCAATCCATACATCATGCCAAAGTTTGATTGTAGTACCAATACCCACACTCCATCTCAAACCCAACTACAAAACATCTCAGCATCGTAGAATGCTCTTCCAAGTTGCGGTTGAAGAAACATTTGTAGGATGGTGCATAAAAGATTTTGAAAGTAAATACTTTTGTGTCAAAGGCTTAAACCAAGGCTTATCAAGTTTAGATATTATTTGTTATTCCAATTTACGGTCAAATCTATACTATTGTATCTTTGAAGGAACATTCCAATAATTAAGAACTTGAGTTTTCCAATCAAAAGTCTTAATTTTAAATTTTGAAATAGGTGAAAAGAGAAGGGTTGTCCCTTATTATAAGTTCATCATATGATATACCAAAAAATTAAAATAAAAAAAAAACACTGTCACAAACTGATCGAAGTAGTAAACCACCATATTCTTGTGGCACACAAACATCGTCCCAACTAACCAAATGAAGTTTATTATCAACATTAGATCCCCATAAAAACCTTCTATTTAGACGATCAATGGCATTTCACAATAAGAGGTAATAAAATCGATTGCATAGTGCATGTCAGGATGGAGGAAGTTACCGATTGCACAAGAACTCTCCTCCCTGCCATGCTCAACATACTTTGTTTTCAGCTAAAAATCTTTGAAATTTTTTAAGGATGTGCTTGTAAGTGACAGCGTTAGGGCGGCCAAGGAGTATTGGAACACCCAAGTAAATTCCCAAGTCCTTGGATAGAGGAATGCCACTTGCACCACTCAAAGATCTTGCAACTTGGTTCTGTAAATTAGGTGAAATGTATAGCTGGGATTTACATAAATTAATGTCAAGCCTTGAACATCCTGTGAACTTTAAACCAACAAAATAGTAACTTACCTATACACTTAAATTATTAATTTAAACACACAATGCATAGCGTGCTATCTTGTAATATCTCAATTTTGAATCCTAAAATTACTAGTGAAGGATTAAAAAGAGATTTATCCCCTTTTGTAACTACCTTATTATTAGACATCTATCCTTTGTTATATAACACACACAATGTTAGATGTACAAAAACCGATCTTGAATCATAAGTTTTATAAGCAAAATCACAGTATAAGGGCTCTTAAACCAACAACAAAATCACATGCTCAGGGAATGCCGTTAAATAACTTGGAAGAAATAATGCAACATTATTTATAATATAATAAAATAATACAAAGTATAATACAAAGTCGTCCGTAAACCACCCAAGCACAATCAAGTGTAACCAGATTATGGGCAAGGCCAATCTCTGCGGGTCACCGCAACCTTACTTCTCAAACCCATGTGTGTGGCAACTCAACGAATACATTGAAGCCCCTTCCCATGGTCAGGTTAATGGGATTGATGGAGGATTACTGACAGGACATCTTTGCCGGCGGGGCCGTCTAGGTGTCTTTCCCCACCCAGTAAGGCTTCTATCTTCCAGTGCCACTTCAATGTTATTAACCGGCTGCAGTGTTGGCAGTGTGTAAGCTGTACCTGCTGTCAAAGCAGGAGGGGAGCTAGTGATTGATCGTCTCCTCCCCCTACCAGACCCGCTTCTAGTAGAGCTCCTTCTTGTCAACCCCGAATGCCACAAATGACCTGTTGCTCTCATCAGCCCCCCAAATGTCTGAAGATCTTCTGTTACTTCATGTCTTGATAAGGAAGCAAGACCTGGAAGGATGTCCCTTTGAAAGTCCCTCCGCTGCCTCCCTCTCCTTCCTTGTCCCTTTCGGGATTGACTTGTTAGCAAACTAGTTCCTGTTTCCTCCACTTTTAAGTTTTCAGGAACCAGAGATTTTGGCATGTACTCCTCTTCCTGAATCTCTGCCAATTGCAAAGTCATGGATTCGAAGTAATCAATCTCTTCCGAAGAAGAATCATCTACTTCCCCACCATCTCTACCTGTTAGAAGATTGTCTAACCTATTTTCTATATCTTCTCCAAAAGAAGAAACTACCTCCACAAACCAATGAAGGAGATCAGTAATAGAAGTTTCAGAAGAATTGCAATTAGAATCATTCAAATGACAGCCAACAGATGATGAGATGGCAACCATTGTCTCTGCAGCTGTCCTTATAACTTCATCAAGAGGGCACTTGTCAGTATGTTGTGATGATTGTATAGATGTTTCACATGCCTTCTCCAGAAATTCTTCTCCATGAATAGCAGCCTCAGTCTCAGTAACTAAGGAAGCTTCCAAATCTATCCCTCCAGTCATTTTCACATTTGAGTCTGAAACAGAAGGTATGAAAGAAGCATCATCCTCTGTAACACACGTGTTCAAATCAATGTGTTGTCTGGAACTCGCAACCTTTATATCAGCTTCCTTCTCCACAACTACAACTTCTGCTGCAATACCTTGGCTTGACTCAGGAACAGTATCATCGCAAGGCAAGTTAATATCAAGGAATCTATTTCTCCCATTATTTCCTGCTTTTCTTTCAGATGGTTCAGAGATGGACAAGGAAGGGAGAGAGGTAAGAGAAGAAGACTCCTTAGATACAGGAGGCATTCCAAAAATAGGAATCCCAAGAATCTTTTTATTACTCAGGCAGTCACTTATTTTGGTTCTGCTCGCTTCAACATTATTGGAGTCTGTGACTGACTTCACATTCTCATTAAGCATTTGACTGAAACAATTTGCAGACTCATTTTTATTTGCTGACTGATCCACAGGAGACTCAGAAAAATTCAAATCCACCATATTCAAATCCCTCCCAGCAATGGTAGCCTCATTCTTACAAGCAGGCGTAGCTCTTAGGCAAGGCAAACCTGGAAGGGGATGCTCATTTTTTCTTCCTCCATCTATTTCAACACATTGCAGAGCTGGCCTATTAGATGAACTGCATGAAAGTGCCACATTCAAGTTCACATCATTTGCAACCTTCATGTTGGTGCTATTTGAACTGTTGGAGAGCTTAGTTGAAACATGAGCAGTAAAGTGGTCAGGGACCAAACTATTACCATTACCAGAATTAAGGTGAATGTTGCTAGCTGACGGGAAGCGAACTGCAAGTTCCTTGGACCCAGATGACGATCCATAATAAATATCCTTTTGGTTGGGCAATTCATGTATAAAACCTGGGTTATGTCTAGAACTGCTGTTAAGTTGCCACTTGTCTCCAAAACCCCCATTGCTCTGGGTTGATATTGTAGAACTCTTACTAGAGGTACCAGCTGAGTTCAGAAATGGGTGTTCTTGAACCAACACTGACTTCTGGCTTAAGGTACTACCAGGGTTTTCCCAAGACGAAAAAGAGTTAGGCCAGGACTTCATTAAATCAGCTGACACAAATGGATTTGGACTAGGTATATTAGAAGTGACAACTGAGAGTTGGTTCATCCCAGAGCTCTCATGATTTCTTCCCGAGATTTCTAAATCATGAACTGTTCTCCTTCTCAACAGATCTACCTTGCTTTGATCAGTTGGAAAGAGGGTTGGAGGATCATGAACTTTGTCAAAAAGAACTTGTCCTGGCTGACAGGATACATGCAACTTCTCCGAGTGAAAAGCTTGAGAAGCAGATATCAAGGGGCTTTTACCATGCCCTGTGAACAGAGATACTTCATGCATCAGAAATAATCAGGACAGAATATGAGGAACCACTTAAGAAACTAATGTTTTGCAAAACAACCACAAGAATAAATATCAAGCAATCACTTGGTAAGATAAATGCATAAGCCAATGTCTATTAGCACAATGTAGTGTCTCCATCAACTGCAAACATGTATCACCATATCTCTAATATGATTATTCTTTATTCCATGCAGACAAGATACCAACTAACAATCTATGCTTGATAATCAATGTCTAAATCCAAGGACGATAATAAAAAACTTCACTAGGGAAAAAATATTAAGTTCATAAAAATCACCTGCTTCAGGCACATGAGAAAATAACCCTCTTGCATGTCCTTTATTCTCTAAACATAGATCGTTTATGGACCTCTTATTACTTCTGTGATGAGAATTCATGGAAATCTCATTGGGAAAACCAAGAAGCTGCAGGTCTGGGTTAGCAGCTAGTTCATAGCCTTGAATCTTCCCAAGGGAAGAACTATTGCCTAGAAGATCAGCATATACAGAACCATTGGTATCTTCAACAACAGCGGGTTCATTCAAGTCAGCCAAACCATTTGTGGCCCTCAAACATGATTTAGATGTTAATGAATTTACTTGGGAACTTTTCTTCCCACAATCACCAAGAAACAATTTTGGACCATTCTCAGATACAACTTTTCCATTTCCATTGGAAAGGTGAGATGCCATGCCAGAATCTGTGGCATCCCTATGTTCTGCTTCTTCAGTATCAATGTATTCATCCGCTGGAAGTTGAAGATCAAACATTTTCCTCCTCACCTTCGTGGGTCTACAGTCTAGCACCTCTACATCCTTCAAACTTCCTCCATTTTGGGATAGAAAAGAACCAGTTTGGACACTGTTTCCTTTCATAAAACTAAGAGGAGAATGAATATCTTCATACCCTGATATTGATGGTCTTGCACAAAAAGAATTAGCCAAAGGAAAGCTACGGACATGCCATTTGCAGGTATCTTCAAATGTAATTTGAGAAGCTAAAGGGCTTGATGATAATGATGTCTGTGCTGAAATATGACTCTTTTGTAATTCTTTCTTTTTTATGTCATCCATCATATCCCTCTGTATTCTGTATAAGCGATGAAGTTCAGACACCTGACAGAAAACAGGAACTTCAGAAATATTTATCTAGATTACCAAAGCAAACAAAGAATCTGTTGAACCATGCAATCACAGGTGAAAGCTATGATGTTTTAATGTACATCATTAGCATTGTAAAAAGGAAGACAGAAAAATGACAGCATAGAAGCTATAGACCTCAATACCTGATCCTTAAAAATAGCCTCATGCTTAAGCATTGTTTGCTTCAGTACATCCTTACCATACCCTGGACATGCATCAGCAATAGCCCTTGAGGAAACAACATTGTAATATTCACCATTTGCCAAGGTCTTATCACCATAGTATAGAGACCAACTCAAACTGTTAGAATCCTCATTAAGATCTCCCATTGAATAATATCCAGGCAAGTAGCTTTGACACTGAACTTTTGTTCCCATTCCTGGAAATCAATGCAGAAGTATCACTAATTTGAAATAGAATATAAAGTCATACAAATATGATGACCACTCTTCTTTCCCAACTATTATGTTTATTAACCTTTGAAGACTGAAAAGTGTAAACAGTTTGGCAACAGGATTTAGGAGTATTTGGAAAAATAAGAGAGCAAGAGGGGAATAGACATGAGAAATGGATCTCCCATTGTAGTATGCTTAAATATAAAAACATAGGGAAGAATTAAATTGGAAAGGAGAGAGAATGCTGTAGAACCCATCTCCATAAAGCATCCTCTTATAAAATTTAACTAATAAAAGATTATCATTTCATCAAAAAAATTTTAAAAGTAACAAGGGGAAAGTTGGAGCGTCCACATCCAAATCAAACTTGCTTAAAATTAATTTACAAATTAAAAGATAAGTTTCATAACACCATAATGGCACACAACTGAACCGGCAGATAAAGAAGGAAAACAGATTTTATCAAATATTTTATACATTCACTCTAACTAGAGAAAACACTGCCCAACAACTAGATTAACATGGTAAGAAATCATTACTTTCAAGCTTTAAAATATTATTTCATGATATTTCTAATACTGATCTGCACAAAGTTGAGTTTAGAAATAAAAGGGAGGATGATAGGATTAGTAGTCTTTTATCCGGAATTGCTGCCCATCCATATTTGAAATTTGGAGTTCACATATTCCTGGAACTCAGTTCAATGTTGAATTGAATATAAACAATGTCTTGCTCTAACTGGAAAAAATTACACCAAAGACTTAGGTATCATAATAAAAAAAAACCAGTCAACACTTAGCTAAATTCAGTTTATAATATTAATGCTCAAGACTGGGAATTTGCATGTGTCAGTTTTTCAGAGGGAAAACCACATATAAACACAAGTGCAAAAAGCCTGTTTATCTAATATGGCTGAGTAGATGGCTCATTGCGTCATAATATATAACCAACAGAATAGTGAAGAAAACACCTCAACAATACTCTCCCAGCAGCAATTTCATTAACCAATATGTTATGACCATCAAATATACCATTGTTGAATTGAATTAGTAAATTACCGTAAAATCGAGTCCAGAAATCACAAAATAGAAAACAAAAAGACAATCATCGATCAGTTAACAGAGAAAAAATACGCACCACTAAATTAAAGTTGTATGAGTTGCAGGAATTAAATAAATGCATATAGACAATTGCTCAAGTGAGAATAACACCCAAAAAGAAAAATTCTCTTTTTAGGTTAAGAGCTAATTTAACTAATTGATCAAAACCCGATTAACCAAATCATTTCAATAAAAAAAACCCACAAGTCAAATTGTCCAGAAATAGGAAAAGTCATAAACAAAAATTTTACCTCAGACCCACATCCTCATATCAGCAATCCATCAAGATTCCGCCATGCGTTCGACCCCAAAACCTCCACATCATGGATAATTCAGAACCCCCCAGGGTCGCAGTATGAACAGAGATTAAGCACCAAACAATAACAAAGAAATATAAGACATACAAAGAAGGTAATGAGTGTTTCCCCAAGAGCAACGACAGTAGTTCAGATCGTCAGAGGTAGAATAAAAGTTGAGGATTTCGATCTACTGGGTCCACTCTCCGCTATCTCCCCTGTCCTTCTCTTTCTCTTAAGAAAAAGTAAAGAATATTGAAGTCCTAAATTTTTATTTGGTAATTGGTACTTAGAGAGAGAAAGAGAGAGATCCCAGATAAGAAATCTTCACACAAACAAGCGACCTTCTATGAACAGTGACATGAAATTTGTCAACATCTGGTCTCTTTTTATTCTCTGCTTTTTCTTCACTTCATCTCTCCGTCAGTCCCCAAATTTTATACTCTACTATTTATTCTTTGGAAAAACTGCATTTGGAGTACACAGTTTGATGATAAGCAATTCAAGGGGCCCCGCTGTTATCAAGGGCTATTTTGAATTTTCCCATCTTTCTGTCCCTGATAGACTGTACAATGGAGTGCAAAATACTAAACTTTTTAATTCTTATACGGAGTGTTTACTGGTGTTTCTCACTTTCTCTTAGATGGTGTTGTTTTAATTTTTTTATATAATTTTTATATATTATTAAATAAATAAATATATTTAATATTATGAGTTTCACATAAATTAAAAAAATTAATTATTTTAATAATACATTAAATTATAAAAAAAAATAAAACAAAATAATTATCCCAATCTCATTTCACCTTTCTCTTTCCACCATCCCTTCTTTTGTTACATAATAAAATTTTACTCTCTCCAATTAGTAGGCCTTCTTATTTAACCGAGATGGTTAAGTTATAATATTAGGCTGTTGGGTACCATGATTTAAAATTAATAATTAGTGGCGTTATTTAATTTTATAATTAATAATTATTATTATTAATGAAAATTCTTATATTTATCATTAAATTAGGTAAAATCACTAATTGTAAATTTTAAACCATTATATTAAACAATCTTTTAGTATTATAAATTTATTATCATAATCTGATATTAAATGTAAAGATGCATATAATATTAAGTAGACTTTTGAATAAAAAAATTAATTATATAACGATATATCATATTATAAATTTATAATATTATATGATATTATAATTATTATATTTTAACTTCTTTAAGTCAAATAAGAAGTACTCCTTGTATTAAAATAACTTTTTTTTTGGTATTTTCTTTAAATTAAAGATATGAGGAGAATTTATTTAGATTTATAATATTCATTAAAAAAATAAAAAAATTAAGAGAAATTTTTTATGATTAGATAATTAATCAAAATAAATAAATAATAATAAATTTAAAATAATAAAAATATTTATTTATTAAAAAATAAAAAATGATAATTGATTTGTTATAAATTCAAAATAAAAAAATGACCATTATTAATTTGTTTCAAAATAATAATTATTTTTTATTTTAAATCTTTCTTAAATTAAATTTATTTTTTATTTTTTAAAATATCTAAATATTTTTTCTTATTTTATTAATATCATTATTTATTTATTTTAATTATTTATTATATTACAAAAATTATTTCTTTATCTCTATTTTTTAAGAATAATATAAATAAATATATAGATTGTTTCTAAATTTGTAATTAAAAAAAGAAAAAAAATCATAATTATTGTACAAAAAAAGGAGTAGGTGTTAACCTAAAGAGAGAATATTTTTTATTCATAAAGCGTGACTTGTGGAATCCAAATAATTAATACCAGCTCAATAGTAAGTTCTCACTTCATATTGGCAATACAGATGTGTGTATATATATAAAATGAGGGATGGAGGAAAATTAAGATTTTTTTGTAATTAAAATGTTAAAAATAATAATAATAAGATTAAAATGCTCTTATTGTATTAATATATAAAAAGATTTATTAAAAACATTTGAATAATTTTACAAAAACTTTTGATATTTAAAATATTAAAACGTCTTAATTCTTACTTTTTTTTCATATTCCAATCACCAAATCTCAATCTTTTTTAAAAGTATTTCATGTCTTACAAAATTCTCACGTTAGCAAAATAACAAACACTCTAAAATTAAGGTTTAGCTTACTATTAGAAACAATTAAAAACTATAATGGTAGTTGATAAAACAATTAATATTTATTATTTAACAATTTAAGATTAATTTATAAAATAAATTTTCAAATATTTTAATCAATTATTTTTATTTAAAAAAATTATAAGATCGTAAAGTCAACCAAACTAAATGCATCTTAATTTTTTTTCTTGAGAAAAGTCAATTTCATAAAACTTAAAATCCTCAAATTTTCTCACCATTTCAATGCTTACCACTTCTGGCCATAGTAGCCTACCTACTTATAGCCAACTATTGATAGTGGATTCCACATAAGTATTCTTAGCTTACATCCCATATTTTCATTGATATATCACACCATAGAGCCAATGTAACTGTGAGATGTTACAATATCTCCTCTCCTTAAAAATGGAATCCATGTGACTAGTATTTGTTAATGTATATTCAGAGTTGTACCTTTGGAATCATGTATGTTCATTTTTAGAAAGAGACTGATCTTAATCCCTCTATCTCAATATTAAAGAGATTTAATGCTAGATACATAAGTATGATATGTTTCACAAAATCCTAACCCAATTCACTTATTGATAAATTATTATAAGATAAAAAAGATAAAGTTAATTTGGTATGTATAAACTTATTCAAAATACCATAGTATTTTTTACAAAACTATTAAAAAAATTAAAAATGTGAATGCAATACATATTCAAAAGAGGCTATGAATAATATAAGTGGAAAACTGTTTAGGATTGGGAAAATGTTCACTAATGAGTCAATAATGTTTAGGAATAACCTCATTCAAGCTTGATCTCTCCAGTGGATTTAAGGAAGGTTGGATGGTTGTGGATGTAATAAAATCAGAGGCAAAAGTGAAGGGTACTGAATTCTTACTAGATAGACCAATAACAGAAAAAGCAAAAGTAATAGTTGAGGATACTAAATTCTATACCAATTTTGGAACTTCACTTGAGATAGGTGAATCTTTTCCTTCCACAAAACTAGAATTATTTGTAGTAGATGATGCAGACAGTGTAGAAATTGATTCAGTGCATGGAGAACTAGTTGTTTGGTATACTCAATGATTGGATTTCTTCTTGGAATTAGTCCTCTTTTGCTTCAGCCCAAGACAATTTGTAATAATATGTCCAGATTATTTGCAATAAACACAAGCATTTTTCTTCTTGTAACGGGATGCAACAAGGCCAAATTCTTGGCATTCAAAACATTGCACCTTAGAAAAATCCTTTTAAGATGTCCTTCCCAAGGTTTTACTAGCAACAAATGCAGTTTCAGCTTCCCCTTTGTCTAGTGTGGCTTGTGTTGAAAGTCTAGTTTCCTCCCTAAGGAGCTCTCCCAATAACTTATCCATAGAGGGCAATTTTACCCTGTTCAATATATTGGCACGAAGAGGCTCAAATTCAAGTCTTAGCTTCATCCAAAATTGCATCACTTTTCTCTCATCATTCAGAGTCTGTAAACTCTATAAGCAACAATCCTCACGGTCACCCATAATCCCCTGCTTATATTCAGTCCATAGACTCCTAAAAGTAGCATAATAGTCTTGAATGTTTTTATCACCCTGTGCAAACTTGAATATGTCAAATTCAATATGAAATTTCCTAGCCCAATTTGATTATTGATAGATCTTTTCAAGATGTTCCCACATTGCTTTAGCGATGCAAAATCCTCCCATAGGGATTCTAATATTAATATCAATAGAAGCCAAAATCCAAGAAACAATTTTTGCATTATTCATCTTCCACTATTGAAGTTCTTTGACTTTTGATGCTTCAAGCATAGGCTCAGTTCCCTCAATGTAGCCCTACAAACCTTTGCCTTCTACAAAGAATTGAAAATGGAATTTCCACAAAGGAAAATTCTTTCCATCTAATTTGACAACCAAAGTCTCATTTTTCTCAGCCATTATTGAATCCACTTTTGCAGCAACAAATCAAGATGCAAATCAACCAAGAAGAAAAGCAAATAAGAGGGTAATCGATATTACCGTCAATATGAGATGAAAAATCCAATAAAAAAATTCAATCTCCAATCTACGCTATGATCGTGATGGCTCTGATATCATGTAATAAAATCCAAGGCGGAAGTGGAGGGTGCAAAAGACCTTCACCACTACTCACCCTTAGCAACATATTTATATAAGGGTTATATACAATACAAAATTACATAAAGACCTTCAATATATAAAAAATACAACATACAAAATATTCTATTTCCTACAGTGGATTCTGTTTATCTAATTGGTTGCAGGAACTTATTTCTAATTTAAAGGTTGGTTAGCAAGTCATGTAAAATATCTCTTGTTTTTGGTAGGCCAAAATAATAGTATACTAAAAACTGTTGTTTATATATTATGTTGGGATAAGGGTACACCTTATACTCTCTTAAATAAATTTTTTTTACCATGAATAGTTATGGTGGCTAAGTAGGAGGGGGACCCTTTTTATGTATATTGTTAATTATTTTGTTGTAATTAGAAGTATTTTCTATTATAAGTCAATTTAGGTGGGATTTGAGACAACGACATCAAGAGGTCCATTGTACCTTAACTAAGTTTGTATTTCGTTCTTATAAGTGGAATTTGTCTTTTCCATCAGAGAAAAAGTTTTCTACCATTAAAAAAACAAAAGAGTGTAGTGCAGTTTATATTATACTAAACTGCATTACATTAATTATTAAATGAAAGCTGAGTTTGTAATATTGAAATTCTTTCTTTCTTTAATAATTTTTATTTAACATTCTGATGCAATTTAAAAGATAAAATAAAATTCTCTTAAAAAATAATAATAAAAGTGAAAAGTCTATTGGTAGATAGTATTCTTAATTTGGGCTAGTTTGGCTACTGGCTAGAAATGGTTATTAAACACAAATTGTTACTCGAGAAATTGGAAAAAATAGTGTGAAAATGACAAACTTCAAATCGGAAATATAGATTTTCCATTCAATTACTATTTATAATAATTAAATCATTTTATAACGTTTCCATAGAAAAAAATCATTTTATAACATAATCAATTATTTTTTATCAACCATTTTAGAAATATATATTGTAAAAC